GGGTGACTTGTCAATGTTCATTCATTCTCACGTGGGAAGGCATAAATTACGAGAAATGGGCGCATTTTGAGACCAAAAGTGGGTCTGGTTTTGGGGTTCAATTTTGGCACCAAAATGGCCCTCAAATTGAAACCTTGCCTCATCTCTTAAGAGGGAAGGGGTCCAGTTTCGTGCGCTGTTTTGGGGCCCAGCTTTACCGCTTTACCTTTGGGGTGGCTTCGGCAGCTTACTGGTTTTCGGGATGGATTGGACTGGTTGGCATGCTTGCTTTCAGGGAGTCCTTCATCTTCATGCTAGTGGATGCCGACCACCTTCACCTGAAGAGCGGTGGACGTGATCGCCGGCTTAACATCTGGATGATGTTGGCTCTGCTTTGCGTGCAAGGTACTCCATTCTCTGACAACAAATGGCGTGGAGGTCTGCGCATGGACTGGGTTGGCTATTGCGTCGATTATATTTGTTTTCATTTGGACGTATCAGAAGAGAGCTGCAACTGGATCATCGCCAGTATTGAGAGCATTGAAAGCAATGATTGGCTGGTTGATGTTCGCAGGTACAACAAGTTGCCTGGACGGCTTGGCTTCATGTCCCAGGTTTTGATTCGGATCAGGCTTTTCCTGGCTCCTGGGCATGCCTGTTTTTCAGTGGTGCAGAGAGATGCTGTTCTGTCTTTGCCCAACCTTGTCATATGGGCTTTGAGGTCTATTTTGCTACGTCTGAAAGAGGGCGCGCGTACTGATCCGGCTGGCTTGCAAGAAAGAATCTGGGGAGGTCTTTCGTACGGATGCCGCTTGCAACGATGACTGACATTGCCCCTTGGTTCCAAATAGCTTTGGGCAAAGATGATGCTTCTTGGTTGTTTAATGACAATGGCAGTTTTTGGGCAAACACTTCTGCAGAGACGCTGTCGTCCTTAATTGCTCTGCACCTCTTGCAAAGAGATTTCGGGAATCTCCTCAATGGACCTGGGCTCTTGAGGTCCTTCTTCTCGGGGGGAGCTGGCAATAAAGCGGCGGAGGCATTTTTCTCCGAGGGTGATCACGATAAAGGTTCCCCTAATGTTCTTTATCATGCAATACGCGGATGAGTGTGACAGAATGGGCAGTAGATGCCATCTTAGCTGGCGTCCCCGAGATGCCAATTTGGAGGCGGACCGCATCAATCCGAGCCTATGCCTCTCTGTCACGTTCGGAGCTTGACCTGGAGGGGGGGCGGATATCTAGTATCCCCCTTTCCATCCTCAGATGCAGATTCCATGATTCTTGAAGAACATGGATGAACACTATTCAGATTCGTATGCAACTGTGTGATCCAAAGCATTCCTAAACTTTATCAATGCAGTACATGTACATGTCTGTGCTGCGTGACTGCACCATTTACATGTACATGTTCCGTTCTGCAGTTGTGAAACCTCCCTTTCCCTTCCGTCCAGTTTTATGTCCATCAGTCGGGTTTTGAAATTCTTGGCGCCGTGGGTACAACCAATCTTGTCCGAAAATGTCCTGATCGGCGTTGCTGTTCCGGTGTTTGCTGTTTGTTTGATTGTCGTCCTGTCGGTGTTATTGTTTTCCATGCATAGTTGCTTGCGAATTCTAAGAGTCAATGCGGTATGTACAGACGTAACGAAGTGGTGTTGAGATGCAGTTGTGGTTTTCATGTGGATGCTAAAGCAGCCGCGCTGTGTCCGCTTTCAAATCCGATTTTTGTTTTTCGCGAATGTGAGGGTCCGCTTTCTGAGTCAGGAGTCCTGGTTTCCGAATCCGTTGCGTCGTAATTTTCAAACGATTTCTTTTTTAGTGTCGAAACATCCGAAATTCGGTTTCGAGGTTTGCCAGCTCAGCCGACATTTTTTCATATCCAGGTTTTCAGGTTTTCCAGAAGTTCCCATGCAATGTTTAAATTGCCGAATTTGGTTTTATCAGGAAACATATCCACACGCGTACGCTTAGGGTACATTTATGTTAACATGTGTTAAAAACGAACATGTAACATGTAATGTTTGAATACAGGAGTCAGTATCGGTGCAGTCATGCGGGCATTTCCGCGGTGGGCAAAATGTGCATGAAGTTGTTATGCAACTGATCCAGTAGTGGATTTTCGCAGCACTACAACATGCAAGATTCAACATCATTAACGCTCGTATGCAGGCGGTGAAGAATCTTTGTGTTTGATGACAATGCAACAAGAGAATTTGTTGGTTCAGTCCATCAATTCGATGACAACATGCTAACAACGTTTGAATCACGACTCACAAATCGCAGATAAGCAAGTGCATGCATCATAAGAGCCAATTGCACAACATGAAGTCCCCTGTGGTTTGGCATAGGCAATCCCATGATGATACGGCATGCCGCGCATGCGGTCATTTTCGGGGCGCGCTATTTTCAGCCATCATGTTCCAAGTGTGTTGGGGGGCCTGTAACCAACAAAATGCTTCCGAATCTGGCTGATGACAGGCTTTTTTGGGTGGTGGACACGCCGCGCCATGCCACAATATTTCCAATGATGGCTGTCAGGCAGATAGTTTGTGCATGGAGCTTGAATGGCAGACAAGTTGGCAGTTGTCATCGTGGTACATGTGATTTTGTTGGCCGGAAGGTAGAAGATAGTTCCGTGCTCCAAGTTCACGCGTTGCAACGGGCAACCTGTCAGACAGTGTTTTGAAAGCTTTTGTTCAAGTAAGGTTTGATTTGATTATCGTGTCAGCCTTGTCTTGAGCAAGGTCTCTACAGTTGCTGACGTCAATGACAAAGGCCACGCTGATGGCTCTCAACATGGGAAAGGACAAAGCACCATAGGCCGTCCATGGCAGGTTGGATGTACCATGACGGCAAGTCTTCAAAAACACGTGTGGAAGGACAGGCATGGTGTTGAACACAATTACTCTGATCGTGAAGATGTTGGCTTGCTTCTCTGAGAGCTATCGCCCAGGATTCCATTCCCCTGATGGTACACAAGGGCATTGTTGTCCGGTCAATGCAAGCGGCGACTGCACTGGGCCACAGATCCGCATTCGAAAAGAGATCCACAAAATGAAGCTTGCAGCAAAAAAGGTCAATGTGCTTTCATGGTGTGGAGAATGCTTGGGCATCGTTGTGTCCATGGTTCTTGGTGTAACCGAAGGACGGACGCGGAGTTCGAGAAGTTCTCGAAGTGCCTGCGTAAATTGAAAGATGCCAAGCCTACATGCAAAAGCGGCTACAGGTGTGTCGGCCTCGTTATCCCGGCTGAACTGGTCGGGCATGGAGTGATTTGCTTTCTTGCAGATCTTTCCATTTGCTCAGGCATTGAGGACTATCCCAATACGTTGGATTCTTTCCTTGCCTTCCATATGATGCGAGCCAGCAACAGGAGTTTGCTGTTGAGGGTTTGGGAATGTAGATGTAACTTTGCTTTTTGACTTAGTTCCGCGTAGGCATGTTTTCGGTGCAGGCGGTTAGCAGGTAGCTTGCATGCGTTTACTCATGTACATGAAGTGCTTGCTGTTCCCTTTTAGCCTGTGTGCTGTGGAGGATGTGCAGTCTCACAGCTAATGTAGTGCAACGTCCGCAGGCCCCCATTTACAGGAGAGTTTTTCAACACGAGAGGATTTGACTATCAACGTGGCAAGCGTAGGTTTATGCGGCTTCGGAAGCAGACGTGTCACAGACAGCCTGTGCAAGACAAGGAATTGCCATCATCACGAAGACGAATTCTGGGTCTGTCATCGGCACATGATGTATGACCTGGAAACATCTCTCCAGAAGAAACTTGTCAGCTATCTGTCAACTTGCAGCGAATCTGTTAGAACTTAGCTGCGTGCTCTGTCTTCCATGTGTTGTGGTGAGGCTCTGCAATGACTGCAGCATCACGCTGCCTTATTGGAATTCATTCAGAGAAGCAGGAAACATCTGGGGTGCCGTGGCTGAACTTGCTTCAAAAGCATTGTGGAATCAGGCTGAGCCTGGCCTGTAACTTGCCTGTCCAGATAGCTCAGGTTCCAAGACATGGGCGCCAAATAGATATGGCAATCCTTTTGGGGTCCCAAGACGTAGAGCCCATTGGTGCTACAACTATGGTTGGAGCCAATGTGCCCCTTGGCCAGAACACCGTTGATCATCACAATCTGCTTCGGTTCATTGGCAGCTGAAGGACTCCTATCAGCAAGTTTCTCGAGGCATCAATATTAATGCGCATGCCGGACCAAGGTGGTAGAGGGCATTGGCAAGGGCTTCACCATGAATCCGCATGCAGATAAGTCGTCATGCAGCTTGTCTGTGCCGAGAGGGGGCCGTGTAACATTGGTGGGACGGACTGCGTCTCCAAATTTACTGCAACTTGTGTGCCGTGAATGAGGTGCATCTTGCCTGTCACGAAAGCCGTGGAGATTTCCCCAAGTGGTTGCTCTGCCTGTGTGCATGGCGAGTTGCCTGAATTAAGCTTCGAAGAACTTGCGAGTCAGAAAGACGAACCTTTACATGGCTTTGTTGAGGCAGCTTTGACAAACGAGCATGACAGCTTCGAACGGATCCAGCAGAAATTTGAGAGCATGCACGTGACCATCCATACAGATGTAGGCACGGTGGAGATCGAATATTTGGAGAGTGGAGGGTAAACAGCAGTTTGCATTTAACTGGTTTGTTGGAAGCCTGATCGCATGACCGTAGAACCGTGGGGAGCTGGCCCCGAGAAAGGTGGCAACATGGCAAACCTTGCAGATTCGACTCTTGACCCGGTCTTTTGGTTACACCATGGTGTGGTGGACTTCATGTTTACCTTCTGGCAGGCAGGGGTGATGCCAACACATGCAAGGTTGATGCTTGTTTGCTGTTCCAGGCGTGGAAGCACAACAAGGAAGACGAGCACTCCACCTGCTCAACCTGTCAAACGTGTTGCCTGGCTGACCTGCGAACGTGATAGTGTGTATTGAGTATATCCTTCTACATTAATCCGTCCCATATATATATATGTATACAGTATACATATTTGTGGTGTAGATGCCTGAGAGTCTTGGGAAGGTTCTTGAGCTACCAATTGGCAGCCAAAGCAGTTTTCATGTACAGTTCACAGCAAGACGTGCCTGGCGCCCCAAACAAACTGTGAGTTCAATGCAACACGCCAAGGCGAGAGAGATATGACCCACTACAATGTGAAGAGAAAGGAATGGATGGGTCGCTGGAACCCGGAGCTGAAGTGTGTAGAGGCGCCAGCTGCCACTGGTGAACAAGCTGTTTGCCTCGGGTGCTTCACAAACCTGTGGCTGCCAGCTGCCCTGCTCGAATCCCGTTGTTTGCATTGGCTACGACGGCTACATCGAGCCAGGCCCAAACCTTGCAACAGCAAGCCACTCCAGTCGTTTAGATGCTGCTTCGGCAGAGCATGCTCGTTTCTATGAATTCTTTTTGTATCATCCCATGGCAGGAGTTTGGCCAGGACAGCTGGTTGGTTTCATGTTTCTGCAGCAGCAGCAGCAGCTGCACCACCAAAACAAAGGATTGAAGCCTATAATATAACCTTGTATAGTATATAGTAGTTTCCATATTCGTTTCCACTTTCCCTATATTGCACCTCGCTTTATATATATACATATACATAATAATATAGTCCCAATATAATACCTATAGTTTCCATTTTTCCATTATCCTTATACTACCCCAATCTATATAAACCCAATATACTATATAGCCCTTATATAACTCTAATCAAATATAGTACTCCTATATGATCCTGATATTCTGTGCCCATGGGGAGGACCTCCCAAACCCAAACCGAGCCCCCCGCCGCCGCCGCGTCGCTGGAGGCGACGACGCCGGCATCTGAGCATCTGCTTTGGTGTTCGGTGGAAGCTAGGGATATCACCCCCAATAATGGAGAATCAAATGGAAAAGAAAATGGGAAATGAAATGGACACTACTATCTTAGGGTTATATAGGAGTGATGCCATATTAGGGTTATATTAGGGTTATATGGGCGTGGTATAGAAAATTGGGGTTATAATATTGTGATAGGGTATATATATTAGGGCTATAATAGTATAGTAGGGTGCATAATATATATATAGGGGTTATGATATTATCCTAGATTAAATATATTGGGGTTATTATTATGATAGGATTATACAGGGGTCATCATCCCAGTATAACCTCTATATCAGGGGTTATATAGTATATTGGGGTTATGTAGATTTGGGTAGTATAGGGATAATAGAAAAGAAAATGGAAACTATAGGGATTATAGGGATTATATAGGGGGTATATCAGGGTTATACAGGGGTTTTAGTATATTAGTTTATACAGGAGTTCCATCAGGGTTATATGAGGGTTACATAGTATATTGGGGTTGCAATATTATAATGGGGTGTAGATATATACATATACGTGTGTATATGTATTGGGGTTAATAGTATGATAGGGTTATATAGGGGTTTCTTATCCCGGTATATTTTAGGGTTATATAGGGGTTATATAGCATATTCGGGTATTGTAAGGAATGATGGAAAAGAACATGGAAAATACCATATAGTATATAGGGTTATGCTGGGATAATGGAAAAGAAAATGGTAACTACTATAATAGGGTATATACATATATATTTGGGGTTATACTGTGCTGCAGTCCACCGGGTGCCAAAGGTTGGTTGCTGCTGAACAAGAGCCTTCCGGCGACAGGCCGCGTCAGGGGCTGCAACGGTGTTTTTCTGAAATTCCTCGATCCCAAACATCAGGCAGTTCACCACTACACGGAGACACTGACCCGGGGCTCTATGAAGATTCGGAAGAACTACCGGTGGTCCTGGAAGATCCAGACGGAACTGAAATCATCGATACGCCCCGAGCTTGCCTCAGTTGTGGCTGATATGCACCTGACTGCAGTGTCGGGTTCACACTGTCATCAATGATGTTAGTCAATAAGAATCTCTTTCAAAGCGCGTAGCTGGTGGTATAGTGAGACGCAGAGGCTTCTTTGTAGCCTGACATACTGAAGCAGGAATCTGCAAACTGTTTGATTCCGCGACATGTTGTGCAAGGGGGAAGGAGGGTACGAAAACAAGAACGAAGACGAAACAGATAGAATGCAGTAGGAGACAGAACAAGACATAACTGCAGAGGAGCTCAGGAACAAGAAACGCCATGTCAAGAAGTATAGAGCTACAGAGCAAGAACTCCGAAAGGACGATGTGTAAATTGTCATCATCGAGTCCTTGCCTTCATCGATAGGCGAAACAATCGACTGAAGTGGCCGAGTCTCGTACAACATCCAGACGTACATGCGCATGTAGTGAGTTTTACTTGATGTCGTGCTGGTCATCTGCAGAGCACAAGCATGCTCCATGACTTCGGCACTTCGCGTGTCATGAGAATGTACGCCGGATCAGTGATTGTTTTTCATAAGGCCCACTCTTGGGGGAAACAGATTTCGCAGAGAAAAGTGAATGTGCCTTGGCGGATCTGGCAGTTGTCAGTGGATTCAGCGTGTGTTTTGCTGATGTGCTATTTAAAGAGTGGCTAAGCAGCTATGACCTGCAGGCGAAGAGGTGGTGAATAAGATTCAGAAGGGGACTTGCTCCATGCAGCAGATTGCTGACAGCATCGTGCTGACGAAAAAGCAGGACATGTCCCTTGACAGCATTTCTAGATGTCTTTTTAGGTGGTATTATAGTAAGTGTTCAATGTGCCTGGTGTACGAAGTGTTTTGACTGAATGTAGACTGCGCTGCCAAGGACAGAGGCCCGCTCCAAGTGTGCAGCATTCTGGGGGACTCTGAGGCCTGGGTTCAGTCATATCAGTTTCGCATTTTACGGGTTCCCTGATGTCCTTGTGAGGGGCATGGAGTCCGAGAATGGTGTGGAACACAGGACCCAGCCTTGTCTTTTAGTGTGGCGTGGTTCTCACAAGTCTGCCGCTTTGAAACATCTTCTGAAGATGTCAGGATCAAACGCTGTCTCACAGCCACAGCGCATCTTGAGAGACTACAAAACAAGTTCAGGCAAGCTCATCGGGTCCTCAGCGATGTTTCTGGATGCCTGCAGACGCCTTTAGGTATGAGGAGCCTACCACGACAGCTGAGAAGCAGTGCAGGCCTGAGGTGCCGCATATCTTGCACGCTTTTGCAGGTGTAACTCCTACAGAGGACGCAGCGCGCAGCAACACCAAGGTATGGCATCAAGTGCAGTACAAAACCGATGCACTGCTAGCCAAAGTGCAGAAATGCCTTCTGTTGACGCGGTCATGTCAACAAGTGCGTGGCACAATACTTTTAACCTATGCGCTGCCTTTGCAGCTGCAGTTGGCAGCTGGCAGCTGCGCACCAGCCCCTGCTTAACCGGTTCCAATGCGTGGGGTAGGCAGGTGTGTTTCTATGTCCAAAGCGACGTCCCCTGAAATCGGTGAAAACAACAACTATGCGTGGTGTGACACGTGAAGCAATCGAGCAGCAGCTGTGTGACAGCGGCCTGGCTCAGACCTCTCTCGCAATGTAGTATCCCAGAAATGACAGCATGGAGCCATGAGACCCGAGAGCGCACTTTCCAGTATGTTTCTATTTTGATCTGCCTGGCGACGGCAGTTCTCTCAGCGGTTTTAGTGCCGCTCTGCATGGTTTTGGTGCCATGTTGTCCACTAGCTGTTTGGAGTTTAGCTGTTGGTATGATTCCCCACGCAAGTTTGCATGGGGTGACGCTGAAGCCCAGGCCTCGTGGATTTGCTGCATCAATAAACTGAGAGGTGCATCGGAAGTGTTGCTATAGGCCTGCTCCTTCCTCTATTGGACCAATCACTTCAAGCAGTTGATTACCCCCTACCACAAGGCGACATTAAGATTGAACACTGGGTAGGGGGGCACAGGCCGAGAGTAGGGCCATGTACAACCAGAGCGTGTATTCCACAACCCAGATGTGGAATTTACAACTAGACTTTTTCTTCTGGTCAGGACATAGCCTTCAGGATCTTTTCTGATGTACCGCGTCAACCTTCTAGAATTTGCAACTGGTGTAGCATAAGTTATGTTTCGGGATTATGACAGGTAAAATGATGGCAAAAATACAATAAACGGACCATAGTCCGGTGTAAAGACAAATTTGGAGATTTTTGAAGTTCAGGCGTCACTAAGTTCATTGTGTTGGTCATGCTGACAACCTTAACTTTTGGGATTAGGTTTAGTAGAGAACATCCAAGTAAACATGCGCTGCATTGTCTTCATCTAAAACTTCTTGTGAAGCTCTCATGGGTTACTCACCGTCCACCATCAAGATATCGTCGCAAAAAAGGATGATGAATTAGTGATCGATGATCTGCAATAGCTGTCAAGAGCAAAGATGGAAGGTAGCAATGGACAAGTCAGGAAAGATCAAGCATCCAGGATACTCGTTTACAACGATTGGCAACAATCCGCGTAAATATCGAAAACTGTCAGACCAGGTCGATGATGAGCTGCTGAGTGGTTGGAAACCCCAGAAAGTAGTTTAAAGGTGAACCGTATAGTCACCCATGCAGGTATCCGAGACATCTCTTATCAACTACGCAGCAGGCTTTCCTGCTCGCAAATTCTACGTTCTAGAAAAGCCACCGCTTGTCAATTCCTGTTGCAAATGCGCCATTGCACGCCCGAAGGGCTCCCCTCTGCAACCAGCTCCAGTCCTCCCAGATGTTGTAGCCCCCGCCCAGCAAGTTCCTATTGGCAAGTGAACTTGGCACACGCGCAGCAAGCAAGCTGACAAACGTGCACCAGTTTTTCTATTCTTCGGCGTCCCCAGAGTGCAGAGAAGACGAATCAAGCATCATGCAGATGCAAGGGATTGGAAGTGTGATTGCAAGCATACTTCACGGGCACAAGGAGCGAGCAGAAAATGCTGGTTGGTGTCTGATTTGAAGGAGTATAGCCACAGAGCCGTCAGCCTTCTGAGAGGCTTGTTGTAGAGCGTACAGGAGAGTAAGATTCAAAGAGGTGTGAATAGGCTTGCTGAACTTCCGCAGTCCAAGGTATTCCCTCGGGCCTGCGTATTTGATTGGACAAGCACTCATCCTGTTGCCAGACAGCCCTGGCTGGGGTTGGTTCGCAGCATGGGCCTTTATTTTGCTGGTGACCGTGGTTTTCATGGTGCCTTTGTGGCAGGCCTTGGCTTCAAACGGTCTGACTTTTCAGATTTCTGTGGACTATAGTGACTAGAGTCCGAGTGTGTCAGGCCATCTGCGTAGCCTCCGGTCTTATGTTCGGTCAGGAGCTTAGCTGCTCAAGTGAAGAAGAATCTTAAAATCTTTCGCGATCCTCGGAGCTCCTTCAGGCCTTTGGGGCGGAACAGCCCTGAACTTCCTGGGCCTGTATGCTGCGGCTGTGATAAGTACATTGCTGGGGCGCTTCCTGCAACTTTGCCAAAGGTGTTTTGCATTGAAAAAGCGTTTGTTGTTCTCGCTTTTCATCTAAGGTTGCAGGAGCCCATCCGAGGCTGGCTTGATGAGGGGAATTTCCCAACTGCAAAGAAAGCACTGCAAGTCTTGGAGGAGGCCGACGACTCCATGCAGTTTCAAATACTTTTTCGATTTCTCTTTATCCCAATATGGCTCCGAAACTATGCACCTGCAACCTTGCACATACCAGTGTGGAAGCTGCTACTGGCTGCAATTCCTCACACTTTGTGGGTCTCCTTCATTTTCGCATCGCTGGGATTGTCCTTGCAAGATGCAAATGATATGGTGAACCATGGTGGGGAGATCAAGCTTTGGGACGCAAAGTGGCAGCACCTTCTCATGTTCGCAGTGTCTGCTGTGATGTCCTTGCTTTTGTCTTGGTATTCCTATAAGAAGTATGCAGAAATGATGAGCGGCGAAGGAAAGCCGTTGAACGAAAATCAACGGCGCGAGCCTTGACATTCTCTGCGCAAACATGCTCTTTGCTCAAAGTTCACGGTCACCTCGTTGCTGAAGTGGCTTTCGGATGTTGATCGTGCTGTTCCATGCTGTCGGGCTTGGAAAATGTCCGAGCCTTTGGAACACTCTTCAATGCTATTGGAGAAAAAGCTAGCTTGTGAATTCCTCACGCCATCATCTAGTAGCTTTAGTCCCCCCTGCTTTTGAGCAAAGAGCTGGTTTAGTCACTTTAGTCGCGTTTTCGGACCATCTTCCCCGAATCGTTTGCTGAATCTTCATGTTGATCCTGTAGTTGGGCGCTGTGCACTTGAGATCTCCCCCCCGGTAAAGGCCTTCCTGCCCAGTTGGATGCTTGACCATTCATCGCCCCGTGTATGCAGCAGAGCGGCTCAAGCACTTGTGCCGAGCATTTCTTGTCTGCCCCTTGCAGTTCCATGTAGACGAGTCCGATGCCTGATGGGTACTCTAATGCAGGAAGCCTGTTCCTGCACGTCCTGGCATTTTTAGCAGCTGCTGGCATTCATGCCAGAGCCAGCAGTCCAGAGCCTTTTGGGGGAGACTTCGAGAATCCTTTTGACGCGAGTATCCATTTTCGGCCAGACGTGGATGATTCGATGGATCTTCTCACAACAGATCCCGACGAGCTTCCTCTCGGTGACGAGACGTGGAGCAACTTGGCAAGAGCCCATTTTTGTTGTCACAGCTCCCCGATGGGAATGGGAACAAACCCGGTCTCAATCCTCAAAAACACCGAAAGTCAGACATGTACAGCTTCGAGCGTACCTGGTTGCTATAGCTGTGCTTCGCCGTGTCGCGCAAATTGTGGGTGTCGATCTCGACCATCAGCTAAGGATCGCAACCCAGAGCCAACACTGGCACAATTGATCCGTTCTCTTGTGTCGACACCACTCGGCATTCGGCAATTGTCGCGGAGCTTCAATGACTAAGAACTAGTATGTGTGGGTATGCCGGGATCCCTTGACAGGAGGGAGCAGCCAAATGCCTCGCCAAGGCATGTTTTGATTTCTCTATGGCCAGCTGCACGCCTTTCCAGCAGACCCACTGTGACTGCCGCACGTCTAGAAATCAAAGGGTTATCAGCATGTTGTTGTTTTCAGATAGCAGCATCGGCGAGCTGAGAAACCTTGGGCAATCAGATCTGGCCACGGCAGTGTTTACTGATGTGTACTGGCTTTCCACGTGCTTTTGCAATTGGCTTTGGCAAGGTACTGCAGTGCGACCTATCTGTGTGACACAGTCCAACAAGAAAGCCTCGCCTGCCTCCAGCGATTTCCCGGACCCGGGTCTGCTAAAGCTTTCACGCATGAGAGCCTGCTGCCCTGAAAGAGTCCTTGGCGGCTAGCACGGCTGGCAGCAACCACCATCTTTCTGCTTTGCGTAATAAAGTGCTCTACAGGAGAAACACTCTTGCTGCTCGAGGATCTTGGAAGCATTATGTTTGTTTGCTTTCATGTTTGGGAGACTCAGAGCCCAAAATGCTCAAGGTAGAGTCCATCGATTCTGAAACAGTACCCGCAAATCGCAAAACTCGCAGGATTGAATGAGGTAAGAGGTATTCCAGGCCTTGCCAAGCAGAAACCCAGGCGAACCATGGCACCCGTAACTCGATAGTGTAGAGAACCCCTCTGGGTCTGACCTTCAACAGAAAGCAGTTGCTTGGTACAGCTCAAGGCCTGGTACTGCATCAGAGGGGATGTTGCTTGGCAAAGCCAAAGATGCTTGGCCTAATGGTGGACCGCCACTTGCAGCGCTGAAAAGGGGCACGGATGTCCTGACTCAGGAGAGCAGCCCTTTCGCAAAGCACATAATGGAGAAAGCGTTGTCCTCTTGGGACACGAGGGAAAAGACCAAGTGTTACAGCACAGCAAGATCTGCGAGAGGCAGGTGTCTGCCCATCAACTGCATGACTGATCTGCAGCGCATTTGTTACGCCAAGTGCAGCATGGATCGGCTGGAGGCACCGTCTCCCTCACAGACTGCAAGACTAAGTGCCCCTTGGTGGAAGTATGCTTTCATTACGCACCGAAGAAGTTGTTTCACCTGCTGCGGTGTGCACAGACCGAGTTGGACCTGCAGGTTTGGAAGAGAAGCGCGAAGTTGAACCCAAGGTGGGAAATGGGAATGACTGGCGGGCCATGGATGTAAGCCGGTGGCACCAATCCTTTGTTCTTATGCCTGCTCATGTTCAGCTGCGACGCACTTGCTGGAGGAATGTGACGCCATCCTCTACAAGGAGAAAGGCAATGGACATTCTGCGGCAAGGAGGTGTGAATTTCACAGCCATCATGTCCTGTTTGTCTCAGTGACAAGCCAAACGTGCTCCGCATACCATCAGGAAAGGGACTGTGCTTCGTGCTTTTCGGCTTGGATGAGCCTTCGTGCAACTGGTCTGGCATTGCGAGAAATGACTGGCACGCAGCCTCAAATCCATTTTTGAGGTTGTTTCCTGTGTCTCTCAGGCGAAGAGAGCGAAAAATGGCAAACGCTGATTTACAAGAAGCCTCCTGGTTCAAATCAGATGCAGTATCAACATGCTCTGGCCACAAATGCCGCCCCATGTACGCAAACATGACCGTGTGCAGGTAGATCGAAGTCGAGGCCAGCCGCGGCAGACTTTCATGAAACATGTTGATAAGCAGACGACACATCATGGATTGACAGCCAGGCCAGATAGAGCCAGGCTCAACACAAGGCTGCGTCTTGAGACTTCCGCACATTGGCAGACTTTCTTGAGTATAGACGGATGTTCTGCTACTCAGGCTTACGACGTTACATTAGCCCCAAACCTGCTTCTTCGGACTGTTTCTTCAATCCCCTGGTGCTGCGTTGATGATCTGCTACTAGTGTTGTGAAATCATCTTCACCAACGCCCTCACATCTCACCTGAAGAAGCAGCCATAGTCCCTGTCCCTCACACATGCATCTTGTTCAAGTTGAGAGGACTTCCTCTTGAATGCCTGCAGTCGACCTTGGCAGGCCTCCCTAGTCTAAAGTGTCACTGCCTGCAGCCTGAGACTTGACAGAGACCTATCTGGTACAGCATTTCCAACACTGTGCGTGTGTCAGGCCAGCGAGCTGCTTCAAAGTGCCGGTGTACCCGCCAACTTCATGGCTCGCTATCCAAAACAGGGCCGCAGCCGGTGGTATCTTGCGGCATGCGGATGCTCACAGTCCAGCATGAGCTCTTAGTAGGTCTGAATGGAACAGGTCTTTTCAGTCAAAGGCTCCACCCACGAAGTGCTTCAGCGACTCAAGTTGCACTGCTTTACTTCTGATGCTCTCATCTGGCTCAGCTTGTTTTCAACGTAGAATTATCCTTATCGCCAAGAAAATAGACAGCGCAGTCGAAGCTTGAGCAATTTGGGGTTTTCATGTGTAAGTTTTATGTTGTAATCTGTTGTGACCCCTGTAGACGACTGCCGCATGCTGCCCCAAGATACGATCCGGTCAAGCGGATTGACCTAGCTGCGTGAACACAGCGGCAACCGCATACATGCATGAATTTGAGCGTTTGTGCATGGCCACTGCTGCAGTATGCGCAGGTTGGGCCATGTTTGTGCGTGGCCGGTTATGGATCAAAATCAAATGGTATGCATCAAGAACAAGATTTGGGATTCTTTTTGCCACTGACCCGGTGAGGCGGCGCGCGCTTTCAGGCGCTGATGGTGGAGGGAAGAGAGGCGCAGCCTGAACTCCCCCACATCCTGTAGCTGCCAGCAGTCGTGCTCCACGGCTGCAGCACCAGCATTGCCTGCCGTGCCAGGACAGGTGTTCAGCATAATTCCGCCGCGCCGCCGCTACCCCCGCCTTGCGGGCAGCACCGCCCCCGCCTCCCTCGCCCGCCACGTCACTGCGCCACCCCCATCAGCCCAGGCAGTCAAAGTGTGAAAGTCGTTACTGCCTACTTCCTCGATACTACCCGCATAGTTTGAACTTCCGTGCTTGGGCCGGGTGGAAGCTGCGTTAAAAGCTGAAGGGTTTGGGCGTGGGAGATGAGGCCGCGTCTAAAGCCCGACCAAAGGTCTTGGGGGCGTGGTGCCCTTGGCACAGGCGCTCCTGCGGCGGACAGGTTGAGGCATTCAGAGTTTTATCAACGCCTGCACCTCGAGGCCAAAGCCCGTTCATTTCAGCAAAAGAGCAGGGCATCAAAAGGAGCGACACGAGGTGTCAAAGTCTCTGAACTAATCGGCCAGCACCGGGGAAACTGAATGCCTTTTTGATAATAGGGCTAGCTGAAGGTATGAAATATGTTCCCTTTCATACCATGCAAACACGGGCACCGCATGCAGGCCTGCACCTGGAGCTGCACACAGCAGCACTGAAGCACTTACCTGAGCTGTGGAAATTGTCTTCGCAAGATGTCGAATGAAGCGCAAGAAAGGTCGTTGGTGCTTGATGCTGATGCGGAGGAGAGGGCTGTTACTGCAGATTTACAGGCAGTTCATGCTCAGATTGCCAGCAACGCAGCCAAAGAATGTCTTAGCTGAAGAATCGGAGAGCTCTGAAGCAGCCTTAGCCTTGGCAGGAAGACAAAGACCTATCTGGTGTGAATTGGGATGCGCCGGCAGACGCCGTCGCTTGCTCAAGCAGCTGTTGAAGTGGAAGTGATGTGTTTCGCAGTCGAGATTGTTCCAGCCCAGCCGCTAAGGTGAGATGCCGGCATGGAGTTCGCTTCAAGGCAGGTCAAGATTGTCAGAAAGGCAGAGTTTTCCTCAGAAGTTGTTGGTTGCTTTCCATCCCCTGGGAGGTGGTGAATCCCGACCTTCGAGAGAGCCTCCGCTTTGTCTCCACGGGCCCTGCGTCGCAGGTCAGGGCCACGGCAAAAGCAGCATCCTCTGTCTGCAGTCTGCGGCTGCGTCTCGAGGCGATGCGACAACTTCTATTGTCCATAGGCACTGCCAGAATTTCCAAAACCTGTCACGGTCTCTGTTTCTCGAGCTCCAACTTCTGCCGGAGGCACTGGAAACCCGGTCCTGGTGAGAGGCCCGACTGGGGTGGGGAAGACCTGCTTCGTCAGGAGAGCTGCGCGGTTCTGAGATGGCTGCATGTGGTGGAAAGATTGGTTCCCAGAGCTTTGGCCGAGGCAGAGTTAATGGGACAACTTGAACCTGCTGCAGCCTCATTAACGTTCTAGAATTCTGCTTGGGGCTCGTCACCCTCCTGCCTGTTTTCAGATTGTGCTCTGTTGAATGAAAACAAAGCACTCGGTTTGGTTGAGGTTTTCCTGTTCTGTGATGAGCAGCCCGAAGCCAAGAGCATATAGAAGAACATGATTCTTCAGCAGAAGCAGCTGGAGCGGGCCTTACAACAAGCCCATGCTGAGAACTGACATCAAGATGCTGCTTGGTGCATATGTTTGTGGTGAGACGGTCCGTTGCTGAGTTCAGATGCCTGTCACATGGCAGCGAGCCCATGACACGGGAGTTGCTACAGGTGGGAGAGTTTGTTTGGCGACCTGGTGTGGTGACAGAAGCTCTTCAAAAGGGCAGGCCACACAACCTACAACCTGTGCTGCGCGCGAATTTGTTGGTTTCTTCTCCAAATCGGCAGGTGGCTGGTGTTGGAGGATGTGGATAGAGTTCCCGCAGAGGTGGGCTGTGGTTTCTTTCAAATGAGAAGACAGCCGCAAGGAATTTGGCATCCTGCAAGGTGCTCGCCGCCTTGTTGCCTCTTTCAGATTCGCGTCGCCTGGTCCCTTACCCAGCTTGCTTAGTTGTTGGTGCCCCAAGTCGGATTCACGGAGTGGGAGTGTCTCAGCATGCAACTCTCATTGAGGTGATACCTGACCGGAACCAGTGTTTGGATGCTCACAAGGCCTGCCAGCAAAGGTGCAGCGAGTTTTTTCAATGAATTTGTGCCAATGTCCAAGCATCCCCAGGATTTCCATCTCTTCGGAACATTGTCCTGTGGCTCTGACCCAGTGTTGGCCACTCAGCTGATTGCTCATCGGTGGCATACTCTCTTGCTAGCTGAGGTGCTGGTCCTCGCATGAGGCGAAGCCAGACATTCAGCCGGAGGCATCAGCCAAACGGATGCAGCGGAGCGAGCGCATACGCTCATAGCCCCGGTTTGAGGCAGCAATGCCGGACGCTGCGGTGCCGTCTGCCCCAGGTATTCCCATTGCATCCAAGCAGTTCTTGCTCAGTAGCTGCTGGATCTCAGTGGATGTACAAGATTTCGAAGCGAGGCGCTGGTAATGAAGATCTGGATGGTTTGCTTGCGGAAGATTCTGGCAGGGGTCGTGCCGTTGCCTTGGTCTTTCCTGCTCCTTGCTTTCGTTTTTTTTTCTACAAAGCAGAGCAGTGCTTTGCATTTTCCAGCACGACTTTGGAATCTGCTCGGGCTGTTTGAACTATACTGTGTCTCGGGAGTGGTGCCAAAGCGAAAGGTCCCGCCGCTCGTTGCTGCTTGGGCACGTGCTGCAGTCTCAGATCAGCCTTAGAGCATGGGGACTTTTGTGCTCTGCAGGTGCGTCCATCAGAGAAAGTGAAGCTTCTGCTTTTGCCTCACCAGTGGCAGGTGTGGCTGGCCCCACTTCAAGAAATTCAGCTCTCGGAAGTGGTTACAGGCTGCGCCATATCTCCTGCATGAGCATCCTTGCATCCTCTCAGGCTGTCCATCCTCGCTAGGACTTTTTCCGGAGCTGTCACCGATCCAGTCGCAACTACTGGACTCTGCGTCAGCTTTGTGTGACCCCAAATGGTTTCCTTTCTTCGCAAGATTGCAAAAGGCTTTTTCCGAGGCGTCTTGCTGCGGAGGAAGCAGGGCCGCGTGCAATGCTTGGGGGCTTGCCGGCAACCGGACCGTGGGGTCGCCCAGCACCTGTGCACTGGGATCATTTGAGGTTTACCCATGGCAGTAGGCTCGGCCGTCCTCAGCCCAGGCGTGATCTCCTCCGCTGGTGTTCGCGGCTGCGTTTGGCAAATCTGGTGCTCAGTCTGACGCCCACCATGCACTATCAACTTGAAAGCAGTGTTAGTAGTCCCACAAGGTCGGAAGCTTGTTGGTAAGATTTTGCAAGTGGCATCTTTAATCAAAGTCTCTGTGGTTCAGGCCCGACCTTCACAGAGGAGAGCCGCACTGGCCTTCTCAGGGAGGCGTTGCAGGCGCCCTGAGTTAGCCATCCCCCAGGCCTTCAAACAATAGTTAAGTTACTGCTGGCCTTGCTGCATACTTCTTCCACATCAGTTCGGTCCCATCTGTTGTCTTCTGGTACTCAAACTTGCACACAAGGATGTATGAAACAAAGTCGAATCAAGTGATTTGCATTCATCAAATTCACTTTGCGGTGAAGGTCATCCTGGGGAGGGTGGCCGACCTGCGCCTGCGGCGTGCTTTTTTGTCGTGCAGCTGCCTCATTAACACGCCCTTACACCCTTCTCGGCGCTGCAATGACCACGACCGGGCAACTGAGGCCTGGCTCCGATCTGGTCCCTGAGCTCGGGTATCGCTGACGCACTGCTAGAGGAGCCACACGCGTTTGAGCATGTGCGCTCGTGAAGAGACTCTGGAGTTGTGATACTCTGTGCTCGGCTAGGAAAGGCCGACAGTGACTCTGCTGCCACCAGGGGCTCCTCGCGAGGACAGGGACGTGCTTCGCATGGCGGGTGTGAACCTTTCTCCAGAAGAACTAGATGCAGGTTCAAATCGGCACCATCACGCTTCCTCTTGTTATGCAAGGGGAAGATCCAGCTCCAGCCTTGGGCTTTCATTGATCTCTTGAACTCATGTCATTTGGGGCAGCTCATGTTGTTTTTGCAGGCAAGCCGGTGTGCCCCCTTCGCTTACACATCTGTGCATGCCCGAATCCTCCAGGCTGGAAGGGATTGCCATCATTGTGCCCTCCAGCTCCTCTTGCTTGCTAGGCCTTAGCTTCAGCAGTTCGTGCAGATGAGCCCGCCTTGCTGGTTGGTGTGAGACTTGGATGACCGAAAGAGGAAGCTGAAGATGGCCTGCCCAAACTGAGGTGATACCGGCACGGGGAAGACCTCGGTGGTCCAGCACATTGGCCGGCTTTTGGGCCAGGAGGCCAACGAAAGTGGTTCGCTTGTTGGGTTTCACCCACGGCCATCGCTTGTTGTCTCGCCTCGTTATGCATGAGGATCATTTAGGACATGTCTCTGGTTATGATTCGCGGTTGGCCACTGCCCCACAGAAACTCTCAGCCCAGAGACCTCAGGGTTTTCATCTCAAGGGTAATCCTCGCGCTGGCTCTGTGGCTTTTCATCCCAAAGCGCTGGGTGACACCGTGTAAAGATGTACGCCTGCAAAGCTGCAACTTTGGTCGGCAATGATACGCCAGCCACCCACTCGGGCGCCCAGGTACTGTCAGTTGGCAGGTAGTCTGCGTGGCGTTCTAGACGTGTGGTGTGAAAGATTTCGTGTAGCACCCTTCAAATGAAAATCACAGTGTCATCAAATGCCCATAGAGCCAGCGGCTGGCCACGACACCAGTGACCACAAATCGTGCTGGTCAGTAGGTGCGGATAAGGGTAGATGGTAAGCGACAAGGCACTGTTTGGAAGCAATCGCATAGACATTGGATTTCGGAGCAGCAGCTGACGATTCGACGGACATGTAGTGATGCACAACCTGCCAGGCACAGCGTTTAAGAAAACTTGCTCTTAAACAGAAAAGCGTTCCCTTCTGAATCACAGCTGTCAGCCTAGTTTTTTTCCACAGCTGCCCTGATCCCCCGCTTGAGATGTCAACAGACCTGTGCACTCTGGAAACACATGACGCTCAAGCTGGGAAGGGTGGACGCAGAATGCATCCCCTACGAAGGATGTATTGGAGACGCATTTGACTGCCAGTGGTATGCCTCCGCAGGTACAAACACCTCGCTTCAAAAATGCATCGCATAGGCATCATGTCGTTGCATACTCAGGACCGTAAACCGGCATGTAGTAGTGTTTCATGTTGCAAAAGGGCATGTTCCTAACCTAATATTCTCGACAAGGGATTGCAGTGGTACAGATCGCGCCCCACCCAACTGCAGCGATGTCAGGTGTTGGTCTACAACTTCAATGAGCAGAGCGAGTCCACGGAGCTGATTGGTGGCTTTCGGCCGGTGGTTGAGACCTCAGGTCATGAGGTCACAAGCCTAACAACAGGCTAGATGAGACGGTGCAGCTTCTGTGTACAGCCTCTTTCCCAGGACAACGTGATGCAGCTTATGTCTGAGCTTGTTCAAAGCTCAGAGCAGGGCCTGACTAAGACCTATGCTACGCATCTTCCTGTAGCTTGGACGGCCTGCCAGGTCGAGCTGTTCTGCGCCACGTTGGAAAAGTCTTTCTCGCGGCGAAAAAATGTGAGCAGCCCAGCTTCAAACTTCTTCAAACTTCTTGTAACCCGATGTAACTCGCATTTTGGGAGAGTTGTGCAAAGCCCGGGTCGCTTGGCTCAGGCGAAGCTGTTGGAGAAGGTCCGTGGCGACTTTCTTGGCCGCCGATGGGCATTGGCCCTGGTGTTGTGAGCGAGGTGGCCTCGACTTGTTATTCTGCTTTGAAGGCTTCGGTTCTTCATGCAGTTGGCAGCGTGTTGTCCAAGGCTGCAGCTGTTGCGTGTTTTCCCAACATCAGAGCATTATACCCTTCCAAGGCGCAGCAGAACTTGTGCGACCCCGTGGCTGCCCAAGCGCACGTCGCACAGGGGTGAAGCAACCGCTGCGTGAATGTGGGACCTCTTGGATGTTGTGCTGCTTCGGGCTATTCTTGGAGATGCGTTATCGAGGTGACTCAAGCTTCGAAGGGTGTCAGAGGAACCCACCTTGCCGCAGAGCCTTTTGCTCGGAGATTCGCATTATTCTGAGCTATGCTGGCAGTTTTCCGTTTCAAATTAATATGTTGTCCCGAAAGCTTAGATTCAGGATGCGCTGAGCTTGGATTTGGAGCCTCGAGCGCTCAAACGCGGCATATGCTAAGGTGGGATGCGGTGCACTCAATGCACAAACGGGCATCAGCAGTGCTGGCCTTGGGACATTGCATTGGGTACGCTCGCGTCATGCGCCTCTGATTTGAGGTCACCGCCGCGGGCTCCGCCCCACGCTTTGAATTCAAGGAAGGCTTGCTGGTCCAGGCTAGTGTGCTTTCTGTGATTCAGTACCGACAACCTTCGATCATATTGTCAGCGTGATCCTGACTGCTGTTCTTCTTTACGGCTCTTAACTCATCGCGAGCCCCCTCAGCTTCGGCAGTGCATGTCCACAACTTTGCAGGCTGACAAAAACCACTGATAGCACAGCGTCATACGAACCGTTTGCAACTGCAATCAAAATAAGGAAGCTAGATTGCCGCCGGGACCGTTCCTAAATGACGGCGGGGCAGCAGAGACCTGCAGCGGCTCTGCTGGTGACTATCGCCAGCTGGAACGCTTTTCCCCACCTTCTGAGCAGCTTGACTCCGACGCAAGGGGTTTCGACCACCAGCGTGGCTCGCTTCGCGCGGGGTTTCGGCAGTGAGGAGCCGCCAAGCGCCAAAACTGCCCAGCAGCAGTACAAAACCAAGAAGGGCCTGAAGTCTACAGAAGCCGCTATCGACTACTTTGAGAAAGCCAAGGAATACCGAGACGCAGGCAACAACCAGAAAGCCATTCAGATGTATCGCAAGGCCCGCGTGGCCATAGGCAAGGCTGCTGGCAATGGCTCGAAGGATTACGCGCGAGTTTGCAGCGATCTCGGAATTGCTTACCTCGACGTGAATAAGCATGACCGGGCAGCGGACCTCTTAGAAGAGTCCAGGAAAGCGTTTGAGGTGGCCGTAGGCAAGAACAACGCAGAGTATGCAGGTTGCCTGCGAAATTTGGCCAGGCTCAGGTGGTCCACAGGTAATGTTGCTGCGGTAGAGGCCCTTTTGAAGGAGGCTTCGCATATTTACGCAGCCGACCTGAGTAGCTTTCACAACGAATACGCAGACACGCTGAAGAGCCTAGCCAGCCTGTACCAGACGCAAGGCCAGATGGACCTTCTTCAGCCCATTCTGCTTGAGGAGCAGCGAGTAAGGACTTTGGCCGCCAGTCTTGGTCGGTAGGAAATGCTTGAGCTCAAAAGAAGACCCCTTGCTGCTGTTGTATGCAACCGTGTTTAAGGCGGTCCAATTTCAATGAACCCATGCTTGCCATGCGAACTTACATCGGCAGTGAGAGTCTCTTGGTGTCCTTGAATTTGAATGTCAAAAAACCATCAACGTGATTTTGTAGCACCGAAACTCAAGGGTTTTGCCAGACTGGCATTTTATGGCAGGCCTTGCGCAGTGGTGCCTGGGTGGCACCGGGCTTAGCTCTGTATGCTTGCAAGACTTTCGAGCTTGTTCCTGGATGTGTTGAAGGTGCTGGATGAGATAAATCTGGCACCATCGGATCTCCTCCAGCGTGTACAGGGTCTCATCGAGCGCTCGTCTGGTGCTAAGAAGCTAGGTTGCCAGTGAGTTGCCGAGTGGAGGGAGCAAGCCGATTTGGCCCAGGTCGGGCTCCCACCTTGCTCTGCCAGAGTCGGGAGATGAACACGTAGTGCGCGGCACTCTGGAGTCTGGAGGGTGCCTTGTGCGAGTCCAGCGTTTCATGATTTCATGAACGTTTCATGTGCTTTCCCATTCTTAAAGGCCAGCTGAGCGGTCTGTACACTACCGAGATTCATCTGGATTTAGCTATTTGGAGCCCAGGCCACATCCTGAATTTAGACTTTTTGCCTGCATGAATCCGCCGGCTACCCAGCACCAAGCAGAGCGCACATCTTGTTAGAGCGGGGGGAGCCGCTTACCCTTAGGCCTCGTTTGTCAGCCTGGCACAATTGTACCTATGCACTCTTGCTCGGTCCACAATCAGATGCCGGTCAGGTCGTAACCGCCCACTGTCAGAAGTAGTCAGCTTGTTCACTGCCACGTGCTCGCTTGGCAGGCCACCGCCCGTGGAAGGAGAGGCAAGCTGCCCAGAGTCTCAAACAGTCGGGCCAAATATTCAGCTTTACTTTCAGAGCGAATTTCGACCCCAAACAATCTGCTTGGGGTTCTCTTGCAGGCGGAAGATGCACCCGCAATGTCAAGAGCAGGGCAAGCAGCTGGAAAGAAGGTGTGGCAAACCCGGGCTTTGCATGAGACCGCTTTTCCTTCCTGTCAAGGTGGTTCAGAATTTGCAGTCTAACGTGGCAAACTAGCGCCTGCAGCTTGACATGCTGCTCTGCATGGCAATTTTCCATGTGTCTGGTTTTGGCACCAACATCTGCTACTGGCGCAGTTTTGCCTGAAATGCAACATCGAGCGTCAACAGCAAACAGTTTTTCAGCAGAATGCATGCGAGTGACGTCCAAGCAAGAGCACCCATAGGCTGCAGGAAAACACAGATGCTGACCATGCAGCGAAGGCAAATCGTGCCCAGCACGCAAACGTTTGCAGGGCTGAGGCAAAGGCAGTAAGTAGCAGCTGATTGGCGCTGGCCACAATCCATGTAGCCTCAGCAGAGTCCGCACACAAAACGCTACTGAATCATTGCAGCCCCCCTTTCGAGTGCTTTCCGGACGTAGAAAACATGTGATGATGTCTAAGAGAGAGCGAGGAGTGTGACAGGCTTTGCCTGGATGTTTGCTAGATGGTCTTCACCTATGTTACGCTTCATGTGCTTGAGTAGCTTCCAAGGATGAGTTTTCAGAAGAGCTGTTTTTGGCTTTGTGTGGCACTGCAGAGGAGCTTCCTCCTGGCATCCGTGCCCGCTTTACGGAGATCTTCGTTGATGAGGTTGTGGCAATGTCTGCGTCGTGTGAAATGTGATAGCGGCTTAGCGTCAAGCATTGAACGGAATACGGTGCTGCTGCCGTCATGCTCAAGAAGTATCAGCACGCTTTGCATCCAGCTTTGTCTTGTGGAGCAGAAGGCCTGGACACCACTCAGAATGCCCTTTTGGGCTGCCCCTGGTCTTGTTACAAAATGTTGCAGGCCTCTGGCCCTGACAGCCTAGAAGACGGCTTTATGTGCGAGCCTGGGTTTGTGGGCAGTAAATCCCCATGAGGTTGACATGCACTGGTGGCACAGAGAGACTCCAGGTCGTCACAGCCTTCCACCTCTAGTCCTTCAAAGCGCCGACCGCTGCAAGCTCACAACCTCAAGTCCAAGGCTTGAATCCGGGCTTCAGCATGTCAAGAACTCCTGAAATTTGAGCAGGTGTTCGTGGTTCCTACATGGTGCGATGTTTGCAAGGGTGTGCTGGCTTCTCTCTCGGAAGTGTGTGGCAAGGGCAGCAGCAAGCACTGGCTACTGCACTGAGGTCGGCCACGGTTTCCAGTGCGCAGGTGCTTGCCAGCTGAGGCCCGATGGGCCTCGCCCGCGTTGTATTTTTGGCAATCTCGAGCATTTTGAGGTGTCATCGCGGACTGGGGGCAAACATGGCTGAGCATTGCAAAGCGGATCTGATGCTGAAACCGTGCCAGGCAGAAAGAGAGAAGCTTTTGTGTGCACTGCTTCAATCCAAGTCTGCATCTCCATTGAAAGGAGGCTGCGCACGTTCAGGGTGAGCCTGGCTCTCTGAGTTTCTGCTGCTTGCACTGATGTGCCTTCGAAAACTACACCCATGCTAGTCAAGGTACAGATTTGGAGACGTCACGAAACAGATCTTTCGAAACGAGAAACAGAGGACGCACTGGGATGCCTCACTCATGTGCTTAGGCTATGGTTTTTACACCCAGCTTCTGATGTTACGGCAGGGCTGTGGGGGAATGATATGGGATGGAGCTCAGCGGAGCTTAACGTGTGTAGCCGTCTTGATGCAGGATCAAAGACCTGGTGGTGACGGAATTTGTGTGCCAAGGCTGCAAGATGAGTGCTCTACGTGTCCCACATGACAACATTTCTCAGCGCACCTGATCCAAGGAAGGAACAGGCAGGTTTCGGCAAGTTTGAGAAGCTGAAAGCTTATTCCGAAGCGGTTCAGGCAGGTTTTGCGGAGTGACTGCAACTGAGAGAAATAGCTCGCTGAAGGAGTGGTGGGATGAAGATCAAGTGATTCGATATGTGCCCTGTGCTGAGATACCAGGTACCTGAACGGTGTTCTTAAGCAGCTTTAGCAGTCAGCTGCTTCAGTTTGGGATACCTGTACATCTAAGGTTATCAGCCATACTGCTGAGCCAGCTAGCGCTTCTGATTGTCAGCTACGGCATCTGGACCGCAGTTGCAGAAAGAAACGCTTCTGCTCAGGGCAGCTCACCACGGAACCTTGCACTGCCAGGCACGATATTTCTGTGTTCCTGGCCCTTTCATGGTGCGTCGCGGGCAAACTACCTTGGCTGGTTGCAGGATGCTTGAGTGGTACATGCAAGGTTTGTTTGCATGACCCACACTTATTGACAATGCCGCACGTGCTTTCTTCTAGGCTGTATCGAACTTCACATCAGCCGCGGTGTTCGAAGCATTGTTGATCCTCCTGATTCATGTGCTTGCGCATCAGGCAGGCTAGTAGGTTTGCCTGATGCTTGCCCGGGGTTCCCCAGCATGCTGTCGGCATCAAGTTGCTCTGCGCGTTTGTATCGTGTGGCGGTCGTGTTGCCATTACGCAGTGGGAATTAGAATCTGCATGATTTGGGAAATCATAGCTGTGTTTTTTCCTAGGTCTTAGGATTGACGCTTTTGTAGAGTAGTCGTTTTTTTTTTCTGCTCTGCCACTTGTCCTGGACAGTTGTTGCTCTACTCCGAGCTGGTCCACAGCTTTGCTCGCTCCCTGTCCGCAAACATGGCTCGAGGTACGCAAGGGTTTCTATGGTTCAGAAACTGGGGCAGTGTGACTGAGGTGAGATACTGCAAATCAATCTGAACGAGCTACAAATAGATGTGCAGGGTGCCCAGCTTCGCCTAGCACTATTAGGAAATATGCAGGAAAGAGCACCATGAGGCGAGCAGCTGCGGACGCTGTCACTAACGTCACCATTCGGGGACTTCAGACTGCCGTTTGCGTGGCGTGCCTCGGAATGATGATGTGGATGAGGCAGGTGGGCATGAACCTGAGAGAGGGAAAAACTGGAAAGAGCGAACGGATACAATATGTATACATATGTTTTCATATGGATACTTGCGTGTCGTACTTATGCTGCTTTAGTTCGGTCAGATGCAGAGGGACGGCTCCAGTCTGCATTTGGCCGCCTGCAGGGCCGTGCAGCTGGTCTATAGAGAATACGCATGACCCTCACAACCTCACTGCATCAGCGAGGGCTGGTGCTGCTGTGAGGTAGTCTGTGCATTCTGTGCTCATGCCCTTGATGGTTGGCTACTGTGTTTGAAGCTCCTTGGGAGCTCACACGTGGCGAGCCTCAAGGCTGCTTTTGCAGATTTCACCTCTGCGAAATCGATGTCTCCAAAGTTTAAGAGACATCTTATGCGCAGCAGCCAAAGGTACATGCATGCACCGATGGATTTTCAATTCGAGCAGCGCAGCAGTTCACGCTGCTGATCTCGCAGGTAAACACCACCGAGGACTTGGGCCTCATAGCGCTCGGCTCAATCTATTTGTAAAAGACTCAGACAGCATCAGCCAGCTGATCTACTGTCAGGTTCGGAGTTACTTGGAGGGAGACCTCCCCAACCCGCCGGTCGATGCAATCGTAGGCGCGTTAGCTTTAGTTGTGCTCTTCAAGCTGTTCTTGAATGTTCTTGAGCGGTAGCATGGCAGCGTTGATGTAGGCTTCTACAAGCAAGCTGGATCTCTTGCCCGTCGGATGCCTTGCTTTGACATGAGTGGCTTGAAGTGCGACGGCTGAGTTGTCGATTCACTTCAGGTCAGAATGCGCTTCTAGACGGGGCTGGAAGAGCACTGGGCCAAGTTTGCCGAAGCAAGCTGGCGAGTGTGTCAACACGCCTGCGAGATGCTTTCTCTGTGTGCAGGTCTGCAGCTTCTCTTTGCGGAACCTGACGCGATCCCTGCGCTTCGCACTACGCCTCGCCAAACGACCGCAGCAGCCGTAGTGGATCCAGCGCATTGTTGCTTGTTGTACGAAACAGCGGAGCTGGTGGACTACTTGCGGCCTTAGGCAGCATGCGACGCCTCCTGCGAAGGTGCATCCACGCACTTGTCGAATCTCATTGCCCCATGACCACTTGTTGCCCTTTCTTTATGATACTATGTTGAACGGCTTGGACAGGCTTTGGCGCAAGGTCTGGCTGTGGGTTTTGTCCAGGGGCCTAGCTTGAGGACCTGCCCAGTTGGTGCGTGTCAGATTTTCGTACACCTCATAGGATATGTGCAGAAAGGCAGGCAGGTGTACAGGCAACACCTACGTTTCGCCCAGGCAACGACTCTGGATCTCCCATCGTCTAGGATTGTGGAAGAGCACATTCAGAAGGCACCTTTTTGTGTTGCAATCTGCCGTCCTTGTAGCCGGCGCGTGAGACTGTCGCTTTTTGCAACACAGCCAGCTTGAGGCAGTGGGAGTGTCACCGAGTGTGCAGCCATCTGCGAAGGCACGGCAGGCTAGTAGCTAGGATGAGCACAATCTCTCTGTGCTCTAAAGGTCCGTGTCTTCTGGTTGGTTATACTAGGGCGACCATTTCACATGGTTCAAGGGACTCGTGAAATTTTCGCGAAAGAAGCCGCTAAAGGATGACACTTTTTCGGGAAAGATGCGTGGCAGCAGTCTCTTTCAGTAAATTGAGATGAAGGAGAACCACTCCTGAAAGGGCCCCTACCTTCTTGAAACCCCCATATAAAGGCTTAAATCTGTAATTTGTTCCTTCAAATGGGTTGTTTCCAAAACTACGAGCCCTTTTGGGTTATAGTTTATATTGCGCCACCTTTTGTTAGGGGTACCACAATGGAACCCAATTTTTGGAACTCCCCATATCTTGGTATCCAAGTTGATACCCCAAGTTGACCCACATGTGAAAATAGGCTTCGCGAAAGTTTCGCGAAAGAAGGCGCTACAGGAATACACTTCTTTGCGTAAGCTGGCCAAATCCCAGAAACGCCGTGTGATGCTGTTTTGTTGAGGCAACCACTTCTTCATCAACTGCATCGGTGCAGATGGATCCGGACAACGGATGGATAAGCGTGGAGGGCTACTGGATCAAAGCTGCTAGGCTTTGTTAAGCAGGGAGGCGCAGTCAACAATCTTAATGTTATCGCTTCCTAAGACATGCCGTCCTCCCTTCCCTGAAACGGGGCTGGGATCTAATCATTCTCAAGTGGGCTCTTATCTCTTGGGGTTCAAGTGCAGAAGCTCCGCGAGACTAAAGAGCCTGAATCAAAACGAAAGGATGGCAATCAAACACCATGAACATTGTTGCTGGATCTCGACGGCTAGAGAATGTGTTAGCCACTGCATAATATCCCGCCCCCAACCGTCTCTTGCGCGATTCAAGTTTGCCTCGGGAAAAAATCCGGCAAAGCCCTCCCGAACCCAAGATGGGTCACTCCGCGCTCTGAAGCCGAACTGCTTAGGCGGGGCCGCAGAAGATTGAGGTAAATGCCGCTCACAAGGATTTCGTGATCACGAACTCCGTGCGAAGAAACCTGCAGAACATTGCACGCATGCTCAGTGGTGGGAGATTTCCAATACTCCTTGAAGGGCCAACATCTGCAGGTAAGACTTCTCTTGTAAAGTTTCTGGCGCACCTGACCGGCCATGAGTTCGTACGAATCAACAACCACGAGCACACTGATCTCCAGGAGTATGTGGGCCAGTATGTTTGTGACCCAGAGACCGGACAGCTTGTGTTCCAAGAAGGCGTGCTTGTCAGAGCAGCTCGGGCAGGTCACTGGGTTGTCCTGGACGAGCTAAATCTGGCGCCCAGTGAGGTCCTGGAAGCTCTAAACCGCCTCCTGGATGACAATCGCGAGCTTTACATCCCTGACACGGGCAGCACAGTCAAGCCTCATGAGGAGTTCATGGTCTTTGCAACGCAGAATCCGGCAGGGGCAAACTATGGGGGCCGGAAGCTTCTGTCGAGAGCCTTTCGAAACCGATTTACAGAAGTCTTTGTAAGCGAGCTTCCTATGGAGGAGTTGGCCGTCGTCCTACACAAGCGCTGCCAGGTGCCACCCTCATATGTCAAGGTGATGCTTGCCGTGTACCAGGACCTGCAATCACATCGGAACCAGTCTGCAGTCTTCCTCGGAAAGCAGAGCTTCATGACTGTGCGTGATTTGCTGCGCTGGGGCCACAGAAAGCCAAATTCATATCTGGAGCTTGCAACAGAAGGCTTCACGCTGTTGGCAGAGAGGCTTCGGAAGGAAGACGAGCGCGAGGTAGTCCGAAAGTCCTTGGAAAAGAGATGCACTGGTGTGAAAGATTTGCAGCTCGACTATACCAAGGACGAAGTTGTGTGTGCAGCGCGGGAGAGAGTGGCCCAAAAGCTCAAATCAGGGCCTGCGCCTGGCGGCGTTGGCCAGGTTGTCTGGACCCCCGCATTCTGCCGCATGGTTGCGCTGATCGGCCGCTGCATACGCTCAGGCGAGCCTGCCCTTCTTGTGGGGGAGACGGGGGGCGGTAAAACCATGGCTTGCCAGTTGCTGTCATGGGCCTTGGTGGAAGAAGACAAGGCAGATCGTCGGCTTCGGACCTTGAACTGTCATCAGCAGACAGAGACGTCGGATTTCATTGGTTCTCTTCGTCCTGTCCGTGGCCGAGATGCCACCTTTAAGTCGATCTGCACGGCGGCTGGCAAAATGCAGGCATTGCTGTCCAAGGCTGCTCAATCTGGAGGTCTCTCTCAGGAGCATGCTGAGTCTGCACTTCTAGCAAAGCTGCGGGGAGAGGTGCAGCTCGCGGCAGCAGGCAAGGGGAATCCGAAGAACCTTGGTCAAGCTCTCCGAGGTGCGATTGCGGCAAACATTCTCTCAGCTTCAATGCCAGGCGAAGCTGAGGCAAAGCGGCGTCGGACGGATGCTGGGAAGGCACAGGGTGCTGAAGTGGCGTTGCTGCCGTTAGCTCTGCATCTGGTTTCCCTGTGCGGCGATTATGACCGAATTTTTGAGTGGGCAGATGGGGCGCTGGTGGAAGCCATGCGTACTGGAGGGGCTTTCCTCGTTGATGAAATCTCTCTTGCAGAAGACTCTGTGCTTGAACGTCTGAACTCTGTTTTGGAGCCCGAGCACTCGCTTCTCCTCGCAGAGAAGCCATTGACTGGTGCAGATTTGGAGGTGGTACATGCGCTGCCCACGTTCAGACTCTTTGCAACAATGAATCCGGGCGGTGACTTTGGGAAGCGAGAGCTGTCTCCAGCCCTGCGAAACAGATTCACTGAAATCTGGGTTGAGCCGATAGACTTCTCAACTAAAGAAGCTGAAGATTTGGTTGCCACACAGCTGTCTTGGCCACGACTGGCGCGACCTATGCTTGACTGCGTCAGCTGGTTCAACCAGCGTGTACTGCATCCTTTGAGCATTCGCGAGGTGCTGGCTTGGGCGTCTTTCGTTCGAAGCACAGCGCCTGCGGCACCTGCGCAATCAACGCAGGCGGGTTTGCAGCGAGCAGTTGAGATGTACCTCCACGGTGGCTGCATGACGCTGGTCGACAGCCTTGGTTTGGGCAATCAGCTTGTAGACACAGAGTGTGTGGCTCTGTACCAGAAGCATGCCCAAGAGATAAACAACGAGAACTGTGGCGGGTTGTCCATGGCGCAGCAGGCGATCCTTTGGCAGCTCTTGCGCCAGTTAGACAGGTCTGATCTCTTTCAAGCTCCTCGGCGAAGCAGGATTTGACATTCACATTTTCTTGACATTGAATCACAGAGAGCAGAAGTTGTGCATGAGAATTCACTAAGGACCTTAACAACGAAAGCCGCAGAAATCTTCAAGCTGTCTTTGGCCAAGGTGGCTTTGCGTGGGTGCAGCACTTAATTGTCGAAGCCCTGAGCAGCGCACAAGGCTTCCCTTTGTACCATCTACTGTTAATATTTATGGGGTTTGTTGTGAAATGCGACAACTGGGAAGTTACAGCGGTGGCTGATGCTTTGATGTATGCTTGACGTGCAGTGCCTGTGCAGTGCTCAGGTGCGCAACCGTAATTCTTCGTCCGAGGCTGGGAGATGCTGGGAGGGTTGCACCTTGGAAGACAGTACTGGCAGTACTGGGATGTCGCAAACCTGCTGTGAAGCAGTGTGAACGTGATTTTGCGGGCATGGTCAGGGTGTCCTCAATTTCGGGGGCTTCAACATCTCCGCGGCTTGCAAGCAATTGGACGACAAGCTGGAAGCGGATATAAATATTGCAGGGTGGGATGCGCGAGCTGCTTCGGCACGCCCAGGTCGCGCCACAATCGGAGGCTCCTGTCCAAGGCCGCTGCATCATTTTGCTTTGCTGGCCACAATTTCTTTGTTGCTTTTTTTCGAGACACCTCCGACTTTGACTTCAATGCTCCCTCTTCAGCCTGCAATGTTGGTGCAGGACTTGGTGACACTGTAGCAGCCACAACAACATGACTTCATAAAAGCAGTTAGGATGCGAGTGATCGCCACAATTGCGGCTACGTCTGCTTTAAGCACAGGATGGCTTGCTCAGGGCCCCCTTAAAAGTTGCCTCTGTAGGCTTTGCAAGCACTCGTGGTTCATCTTCCTGCAATCGTGGCTGCGCATTGTAAGAGCAAAATCTTGGCTGAGACGACTCATAGGGCCACTGAGACAACATGCTGGAAGGATGGAGCCTTTGGGCTCGAATACTGGCAGAACATGTCTGAAGCTTGCCGATCTTGTAGCATAATCACGCATGCCGCAAAAGACATGGGATTCTTGCAGACAGCCTGAAGATGTAGACGCCAGCATAGCTACACACGCATCTTGTGTGAACTAACATGAGCCAGTACCGTACAACTTGTGGTGGCAGCCTGACTCTTAGACTCAGATGCTCCTACCATGAGCTCGCGCTCCAGCAGCCTTTTGGTGCGCCTTTTGGCCGCTGTTTTGCTATCCTGGCCTGGGCTCACCTTCTTCGGGCGGCGTGGCCAGGGCTCGGGAGCAGTGGAGGCACTACTCGAGGATCTCCGAGCGCTGGGCGGGCCTGGGCAGGACCCTTTCACTTCGCCATCGGGATCTACGGGGAGAGCCCCACACCAAAGACCAAAGCCCCAATGCAACGGTGTTTCTTCTGAAATTGTAAGCAAGAAATCCCCATCACCTTGACAGAATTCCAGAATTGAACGCAGTCTCCGAGTTCTTCCAAGCACTGTTTTGAAAGATCTGTTTTGTGCAATTGTGAGGTTTCACGATGTTTCTTTGACCCTGACAGGATGCGGCCCTGACAGCTTCAGCTCTACTGGGAGGCCTGCAAGATGCACATCTTTTGGCCGACAGCAGCTACGACAAGCGGCGGCGGACCGCAAAGTTTAAGATCGCGGGGGGCGGTGCAACTGGTGAGTTTTACGCGGATCTCAGAATCTGGCTGGATCTTCAGCTCGACAAGAACTTGAAGATCACCTGGGAGAAGACACGAGCGGGAGCAGTTGTCCTGCACTTCTCTGGCATGTCGTTTGCACCCCTTGAGGGTGCGCAAGAGTTGTATATGAAAGCCGGCTTGGACTCCTTCACCTGCCCTTCCATCAAGTCCGTGAGCCAGGAGGAGTACTACCAGTGCCACCTCAAAAAGGCTTCATGCCCCAACCTTTGCGGCTCCTTAGGTTCGTTTTGCACTTTGTCGCAGGCCCTGCTGATGGAAGACTTCTGGAAAAACAACCGCGCGGCCTGGCTAACGGCAATTTGCACGGTTGGTTTTCAATGTTTCATTTTTCGTTTGCTGCGCTGCTTTTGGTACCGAGACCTTGATCCCGAAGAAGCTGCAACACCAGTTCGCTTTCATTGGGGACAACACGGTCATATCCCACCTGTCCGAGCAGCTTGGCCATGGGTCCCTCAGCTGAAGCCACGCTTTGACTCAGTGGGACAGCTGGCCTGGCTTGTGTAGCATGGTGTAGCACGACAGGTTTGGCTGGTCCATGCTCCTAGTCCTGTCGGCACCTCCATCGGTGGTGAACACACTCGAGTTTTCGGACAATGGTGTCCGAGGCAGCTGGGCTGGGTGTTGTTGAGAGCTAGCAGGTTGAAAACAGTTTGGAGTTGAGCTTGCATATCTTGGCCTCCTCAGGCACATCTGTTCATGACAAGAACCAGGAGCCTTGAACGCAGGAAGATGCAGCCGCGTGGACAAAGGAGAGAGGAGGCACATGCGAGAAGCCCTTGTGCGCAGGCTGGAGCCAAGCTCGCGGCAAAGCACGGCTTCAAGGATCTTAGTCACTTGCCGCAGCAAGACCGTGTCACCCTTGAAGTCGGCATTTTTTTTTTGGGGTTGAGGCTAGTGACTTGAGTCGCACTCCTGAATTCAAGACAGCATGCTAAGGCCTGCGCAAAAATGCAATAAACCGGTCA